AATCTCAATATGTGTAAATTAATTAGTTTACATAAACATTATAGCACATATATACTGCAATTTTTATTTTAAATGTCTTTATACTGGTAATGGCGGCGATCAGCGACCTATAGCGGGACTGTGACAGGGATTCTTACATTGGGTGGGAACAGACTAACTGCCACTGACATCCCCAGTGACACTAATACAGTGACCAGTGCTAATAAAAAGCAATGACACTGTACTAATGACATTGGGCAGGAAGGGGTTAACGTTTGGGGCGATCAAAGGGTTAACTTTGTGCTGTGTGCGCTTTGCTGTGTGCTGTGTTTTACCATGGAGATATGCTGCATTGAATCTCTCTGCTGTACAGAGAGATACAAAACAGCATGTCTGTGCTGACAGGAGAGAGACCTGCGTTGTTTACACACAGGTCTCTCCCCTGTCAGCTTTCCCCGACGATCTCCAAGTGCCGGAGGGAAATCGCCAGCCTGAACCCAGTGATTTACATCTCTAGCCACCAATAGTGGCGCGGGTAGGGCGGCACGTGCGCCCCCACCCGAAAATGCAAGTCGCACATATATATATATATATATATATATATATATGTGTGTGTGATTTTGCGCAGCCCTGCCACCCTGTAGCAGTACTTCTGCTATAGGGCAGAGGGGCAACTGGTTAAAATAACTGAACTGTTTGGTATGTGGCAAAATTCTTTCTTCCCCATAATGCATTTCTTGGTGTGTGTGTGTGGTGGACCTGCGACATACCAGAGGCGGGGGAGGGAAGCCATATGCAGAGATTAAAAGTTGGTATCATTGGCATATGATGGTTGCAGTGCTGCAAAGAGGATTCGAACACAAAGACTAAAAGCTGCCTGCATCTGCATTGTGATTTTCATTTGTACCATGATGTGTCTGGTATGCTTTATTGTGTTATGATTCCTCCCCTCTGTGCTCATAATATCATCATAGCCATTACACAAAATGCTGTTAGATTAACCATAGAACCCATGGTCCCATTCTGTGCATTGTCATAGACCAAACCTTTCTGATAACATCTGAACCCATCAGTGTTTTTAGTTCTGGTTGTATTTTACACCTTGAGTGCAAAACATTGAAAAGACACTCTTTATTTCAGCTATATATTCATCAACCCTAGGTTCCAGTCCATTTAACATGATTTCCTATAGAATACATTCTCCATTTCATGTAGTTTGTTTTTTGCAACGTTTTTGATGCGTTCTGCATTTTAAAACTGCCAAGAAAAAAATAAAATAATTTTTTTAAAAACACGGTAAAAACACATCAAAAACGCATGTGCAAAAATGCAAAATGCACTGGAGAAATGGATCAAACGCAAACTGCATATGTGTGAACCTAGCCTAAAATACGCAGCAAAAATACATAGATTTCTTTTTATAGAAACATAGAAAATAGGGTTGCACCAATACTGTTTTTTTACCGGCGAGTACAAGTACTGATACTTTCGGTCAAGTGCATGCAGATATCGAGTACTGATACCTTTGCAGTGCGATTTCAGCCCATTCAAAATGAATGAGCTCAAACCACACTGTGAAGAATCGCATACAATTTGAACAGGAATGTGGTGCAATTTATGTCCAAATCGCATGCATTTTCCCACACTGCTCCAGTATAAACCCAGATTGAAGTCACTATCTCAAGCGGGGGTTCGCACAGGAGCGGTGTGGGAAACTGCATTCGATTTGGATAGGAACTGCACCACATTCCTGTTCAAATCACATGTGATTCTTTGCAACGCAATTTTAACCCATTCATTTTGTATGGGTTCAGATCGCACTGCAAAGGTATCGGTTCCGGGTATACATACATGCAAGTGCTCGCTATTGGTGCAACCCTAATAGAAACAGAACAGTAGGAAAAAAAACAAGTGGCCCATCGAGTTTATCCCCTTTTTTAAATGAATTCTTTTACTTTATTTATACGTGTTTTTGTACTTTTTTAAATCTGAACATTGATCTCTGTTTGTTCCAAGCATGTCTGAAATCACTTACTGTTGACTGACTCACTACCATTGCTGGAAGTCTATTCCAAACATCAGCTACTCTGTCAGTAAAATAATACTTTCTAAGAATAATTCTGAAATTTCCTACTGTTAGTTTGAGGTCATGTCCCCGTGTCCTTGATCTTGGTTCCATATTGAAAATACTTCCCTCCTAAACCTTATTTACCACCTTGATGTATTTAAAGGTTTCAGGGTTTATAGTATCTTGACATAGACATCTGATAGATGAGAGGTCCAACCTACTAGCCAGTCCGGCTCTGCTTCATTGCAAACTGCAGTCGGTTTAAAACAGGGATTATGTTTACGAGACAGAGGAGCAAAGGAATGACCTCATCCAGTCAGCAGGCCAAGCTGTGGGTGACCAAATTGTATCGCTTCTCTATAGAATAGAAAAATTTGACAGATCTATGAGCGAACAGAATTGGTTGGTTGGTGTTTAGCTTTATTAAAATTAGTATCTACTTTTGAGTTCTGTGAGCTTTTTTAATGCCATGGATGGTCTGTGTGAACTTAAAAATGGCCACTGTATATATCCAAAGCCCCCTACTATCTCTTTATTTATAGCTAAGTTATCCTATGTTTTTCACATGGAATGGGTGGAGACCTCCTTGCATAAGGAATTACGGGCTCAAAAATTTGTCAGTGTTTGGGAATCTTTTATTCAAACTCAACAATCCATACTGCAATGCTTTCAATATACTCAGTGGTATTGACTCAGACTCTTAACCAGTGGTCCTTCAATTTATATTTCTCACCTTTCTTAAATTGAAATAACCTAAAAATTGAGGCCTCTCCCTCGTACCTTACTGCTACCTACTAGTCTGACCGCCATCCACTCAAGTGTTTCCTAACGTTCACCACTAGACCCAGCACTGGTAAGCCCCATACACACGATGAGAATGTTGGATGAATGATTGACTTGTTTTTTTTGCATGCTAATCTCATATCGATAATGAAAGGTTTACTAAAGTTATGAAAATGTCGTAGGACAGAATAAAAAATTAGGAAGTGATGTCATGTATTGTAATGTATTTGTATTGTATTTTCAGACATACCAGAACATTTTTCGTGCTTGTCTCTTCAAATAATTTCATACGAAAACTGTGCACTAATGATCAGATCATCGAATGATCGCTTTAAAAGCGGTATTTTTCGTACAATTTTCTGATCATGTGTACTGGGCTTAAGGTCATCCTCGACCTACACTAACATAATGGGGTTGATTTACTAAAACTGGAGAGTGCAAAATCTGGTGCAACTCTTCACAGAAACCAATCGGCTTCCAGGTTTTATTGTCAAAGCTTAACTGAACAAGCTGAAGTTAGAAGCTGATTGGCTACCATACACAGCTGCATCATATTTTGCACTCTCCGGTTTTAGTAAACCAACCCCATTGTATATTGTCTTTCTTGATTTGCTTGTTGGCCAAATGTTACGGCCATTGTTATTGTTAATCACATTCTCACATTAAAATAATAATCTTTTTTAAATGGTCACTGCCCACCCCTGTGAACCTTTATGCTCGTATCACTTAATACTATCAATGTTATATAAAATTTGCTTTTATTACTTTAATTTATTTCCACGTCAATTCCATTGCCTCTAAAACCTTGCAGAGTTCTGTTGATTGTGAAAGCGTAGAGTGTCTTGTTTTTCTCTGATGCTGGAGCTCATCTTTGACTTCTAATGTCCTAGCAGGGGGGACATTATCCCGCATACCTTCACCCCTATTTGATACAAAAGCATAATAGTCAATGTCATTAAGCCTTTTCACAATACGCTGGGACAATTTCATGCTTTTCCCTCATTGTCTGTCACTGGCTTGATTTCACAGACCCTTGTGCTCACATCTTCTATAATGTACTTTGCTGTCCCTTTATTACACTTGGTTATTATGTTACTGAAGTACGGCAGCTATTTTTATCACCAAGGTATTTTCAATGAGGTTTATGTTGGCTGAGGATTGTGGCAGTTGTACTGTCCTGGTTATTATTGCAGCCTAGCTAGAAGAGATCAGACTTTTTGGAGATATTGCTTTGACACATTCCCATACAGACGCAGCATGGGAATCAATCAACAATCTGACATCGGAGTGTTGCGCTCCTGGGTTTGATTTCTCACTAGGGGTCCTAGCTGGCCATATGTGGGTTGTTCAAAATACACATCATTGGGTTGCTAGTCTCTTATCTAAATACGTCCTACACTGTGTATGGATGTATGGCAGAGATGTGCTTTCACAAAGGTACATATATCTGGCAGCAATAACCCTAATGCTCCGTTCAGATCTCACGTAGCGGGAAGGAGCATTCCTGCTCACGATTTTTAAAGCATGATTTACATGTTTTTCCGATTGTCGTGCATAGGGAAACCCTTTCACTGTAATGGACTACCCTAGGTGCGTTTGTCACTCCTAAGGTAGTCCATTACTCCTGCTCCTTTTTGGGTGACAAGCTTTGCACAATGTTTAACCACTTGCCTACAGGATACTTTCACCCCCTTCCTGCCCAGGCTAGTTTTCAGCTTTCAGTGCTGTCGCACTTTGAATGACAATTGCGCGGTCATGCAACACTGTACTCATATGAAATTTTTATCATTTTTTTTAGATAGATAGAGCTTTCTTTTGGTGGTATTTAATCACCACTGTTTTTTTTTTTTTTTGCTAAACAAACTAAACACAACTGAAAATTTTGAAAAAAAAGTCTCTGTTATAAAATTTTGTAAATGAGTAATTTTTCTCCTTCACTGATGTGTGCTACTGAGGCTGCAGTGATGGGCACTGATGGGCACTAATGAGGAGGCACTGGTAGGTGGCACTGATGGGCATTGACAGGCATCAATGATGGGCACTGAAAGGCAGTACTCATATATGGCACTGTTAGGTGGCACTGACGGGCACTGTTAGGCGTCACTGATGGGCACTGTTAAGCGGCACTGATGGGCACTGTTAGGCGGCACTGACTGGCACTGATAGGTAGCACTGACTGGTACTGATAGGCGGCACTGACTTGCACTGATAGGTAGCACTGATTGGCAGCACTCATAGGTGGCATTGACTGGCACTGATAGTTGGCACTGAAAGGCAGCTCAGATGGGCACTGATATATGGCATTTATGTGCACTGGTAGGCATTGATATGAGGCATTGATGTGCACTGACAGGTGGTATTGATGGACACTGACAGGTGGCATTGATGGGGCTGCACTGATCATCAGAGCACTGAGCATGAGTGCCCTGATGATCAGTGTAGATGTCCTCTCTGAGTAATGCCGATTACCGGCTCTCCTCTCCTCACGAGCTGTCAGCGTGAGGAGAGGACTGCCAATAACCGGCATTTCCTTGTTTACATGCGATCAGCTGTGATTGGACACAGCTGATCACAGGACAGAGTCAACGTCATCAGCTCTTTCCGCTGATCGGTGATCCACTGTGTCCCAGGGGATCGTGGTTAGAGTGGGAGGATGTCATATGACACATGCTATGTGCTGCACCGCATCAGTGTGAACCTGGGCTTAAGTACATCATGTGACTATGGAACTTTTTTAACCGCTAGAGCAGTGGTCTCCAAACTGCGGCCCGGGGGCCAGATACAGCCCTCTGCTTGCTTTTATCTGGCCATTGGGGCACTATTTCATCCATTGATACCAATTGGGTATAATTCCCCCCCACTTACACCAAACAAGGGGGCACAACTCCTTCCAATGATGAGACACAATTCTTCCCAGTGACACAAATGATAGGGTCCAATGACATCAATGATGGGGCAGAATTCCTCCCACTGACACCAAACACAGGGGCATTATTTTTTCCCACTGACATTTGGACCTTTTCTAGTCCCACTGGCTGCAGTCTGGCCCTTGTAAAGTTTGTAGGACAGTAAACTGACCCTTTGTTTAGAAAGTTTGGAGACCCCTGCACTAGAGGAAGAGAAGAATAGCTAATACACCAGCCACATGGGGAGTGCGTTGTTATCAGAGAGTTGGCAGTTGCATAGACTTGCCTTGCAGGAAGGAGCAGTAAAGCAAAACCATTGTGCTGTAAGAAAAAAAAATGAAGGCTGCATAGGTCATGAGTAAATATGGCTGCCACTATGTGCATTTGAGATCACAAATTGTACAAGAGGTAAATGCAACTCTGTAATTATTCATACTTCATTAAAACTTTTTTTTTAAATGCAGACAGTATCTGATCATGAATTGGTATCAGCCTCTTGTGTTCCCTGTAAAGCAGAGCCCAAACTGGGAGAGGCAGAAGCAATGTAAGGAGCCCATCAGTTGTCCTGCAGCACTGATGTGCTATTAAGGAACATGCTGATAGAAGGAGAGAGCAAAGTGACAGAGATAGGATAATCAGTGTGATGCTTCTCCCTTCACAGGCTGGGGGGGGGGGATACAACCTGTCATTTATGCTTAGCTTTAGGCAGCTTTCACACTGATCAGTTTTTCTTTTCTTTTTGCATTTAAAAAAACAGAAAAAAGGACTATTAAAGGAGCAGCACAGTGGCTAAGTGGTTAGCACTTCCACCTGGCAGTATTAGGATTGTTGGCTCGAATCCCAACCATGGAACCACCTGCCTGGAGTTTGCATGTTCTCACTGTGCCTGTGTGGGTTTCCTCCAGGTACTCTAGTTTCCTCCCACACTTCAAAAGGCATGCTGGTAGGTTAATTGGGTCCTGTCTAAATTGTCCCTAGTTTGCATGAATGTAACTTAGGGACCTTAGATTGCACACCCTTGAGGGTTAGGGACTGATGTGAATGTACAATATATATGTAAAGCAATGCGTACATTTATAGTGCTATATAAGTATCTATAATAAATAAATCCGATATAACTGTTTAGTTGCGGGTCTGTTGTGCTTTTCAAAGTCCTGCTTGCTGCATTTTTGTGCGGTAAAAACACTGAACCAAAAACAAACCTCCCCATTGATATGAATGGAAATTGCATCAAATACGGTAACCTTTTTTGGTTCGTCTTTTGAGCCATGTCTTTTATTTCACAGGTGTAAAACGCACTGGAAAAGCGGTAAAAAATTGGCAAAAACGCATATGCATTTTTACTACATATTTGCAACTGTGAAAGTAGCCTTAGTAGAGAAAAATCAGGTTTCTTGACCTCCCTAGGTGGCAGAGCTGTGTAAATCTCGGAACTGGTTGGACAGAAATACAAATCCTTTAGCAGGTAAAGCTGCTCCTTTCTATGTATTTCATCTGCTGTTTGCCTGGAGTTCAGCTCTAAGTTGTATAAGGGCAGAGACTGATGTGAATTGTTCAATGTTCTCCGTGCTGCATGTCAGCATTTTTTAAAATGAGTTAAATAAATGATGTTTCTAGTGAAGTGAAGATGAGATTTGATGAAAAATAATAATAATGATGAAAGTAATGCACTGTTGAGCGTAGATATAGCATAATATTCAGTTTATGGAATGTGCTCTGTCATGTGAATCCAAGTCATTGAACAAGAGACTTGTAAAGAGATAATGTTAATGTAGTGTTATCACTTCATAGATAGACAGGCCAGTAACAGCGGCACAGCCAGTTAGGTATTCTGGGGGGGAGATTTCAGCTACATTTAGTACAGAGGATGAAAACATTCACTTTTTTGGAAAGACTACACATCTATGTGATGTGTATGTACAGAGTACTCATAGACACAGTGGGGGAGATTTGCTATAACTGGAGCACTCAATATCTGGTGCAGCTGTGCATGGCAGCCAATCAACTTCTACCTTCAGCTTGTTCAAATAAGCTTTGACAATAAAACGTGGAAGCTGATTGGTTACTATGCACCAGATACTGTTTTAGTAAATCCTCCCAAGTATGCAGGGTATTTATTTCTCAGAAAATACAGTAGGTGCAGGAACTTCACCCTTCGGAGTCATTTCTTGTCTCCTCCCCCTACCCACCTCTGAACATTGACCCTTAGTTCCACCGCCTACCCACCTCCCAGTACCGCCACTTTTAGAGAATACAGAGCCAAATATCATTTTGTGGTGCTAAGTAGTTTGTATGGAATTTGTTAATGATAACAAGGCAAGCAGTAAAATAGATCCCCCAGTACCAGCAGCAATAGACCCTGTTCCAAGCAACAATAGATCCCTTGGTAACAATGAGCCTCCACAACAAATTACCACCCCCAGCAACAACAGATCTCCCAGCAGTCAGCATCAATAGTCTCTTCAGCAGCCAGCAGCATTAAATCCCTTCCTTAACAGTAGATCTCTTCCAGCAACCACTGACCACCCAGCAACAACAGATCCCCCACCACAACAATAGACCACCCCAGGAACAATAGACCCCCATGAACAATAGATCCCATAGCAGCCAGCAACAATAGACCCCTTCTTCATCAGTAGTTCCCTTCCAGCAACATAAGCCTCCCCTCTAGCAACAACAGACCGCCATGCTAAATAGGTCCCCTCCAACAACAATAGATCTCCCAGTAGCCAGCATCAATACACCCTCCAACACACCCAGAACCCTTTTTCATTATATACATTCAGTGCTTGAGGTGCCGGAACTGTGTTGAAAAGAGAACTGTCAGTGATGCTTAGCAACCAGACGATGCATATTGTCAACAATGTGATTGGTTATCATGTGCATCCCAAACAGTTCTTGAAAAATAAAGCAGCTCTATTTGCTTCTAGGAGCGATTATTTGACCAATCAATAATGAAGATGATACTGTTGCAATATTACAGTAAATATGTATATATATTAATATAAAGACATTGGGGCATATTTGCAGTGAATGTGACATTTACCAAACATTCACAGTTAATGCAGTATTAAAAGTCTGTTTTTGTTTTATTTTTAAATGTGCCCACAGGTGGTTTATGCCATAATGTGTAGTATGCATCACATATTTGCGCACTGTGACAGACTTACCTGTCATAATGTGCCCCCCCCCCCCGTGCCCCCCCCCCCCCCCCCCCCGTGCTATGCTGTCACCGGTCCTGTGGGTTTCGGGTGGTTCCATCTTTGCTCAGCCTTTCTTCTCGGGTTCCATCTGTTTGGCCAATTGAATGGCCAAGCTGCGATGACTTCTTTCACATGGGAGTCACATCATTGCAGCACAGATTGGGTGCCATCAACTTACGCTGAGATGTGCATACGTGGCTCAGTGTACATGACAGATGACAGGCAGAAGGAAGCATTTGTGACAGACAAGACCGATCGGGTCTCTTCTGTCATAAATATCTTGCCTGTCAGCAATTTTTTTTAAGTCAGTGAGTTTGATACCTTTTAAATTATGCAGCCCTGACATCACCCCAATGCCACACACAATATTAAAGCCCAACTTCGGGAAACTTAAAAATGATCCCTTGCAGTGGGGCTGCACCCACGCTGATGGGCTAAGCACTTGTTTAGGGGAGAGAAGTGCTTTTACTTACCTAATTCTCCAGCAGATGATATTCCCCACACTTTGACAGTGGACTGTCCCTTGATGTCATCAAGCCTGATGCAGGTCTATGGACCCTTCATAGGTCTTGATGACATCAGGGCATTAGACTGTCAGAACATAGGGAAGAAGATGCTGTGGGGACTGGTCTAGCTGTGCAGAAAAGCTAAGGAATGAGAAAGTAAATCTAAAATATTTTAACAAATTCCCTAGACCTACAGTACATGAGCAGTAAACCCCTGCAGTATAGCCCCACTGCAATGCATAATTTTCAGGTTTCATGGAGTTGGGATTTAAGTACATGTAATTGTTAGAATGATTATCTGTGATCTGAGTGTGAAATATGAAACATATGCAGCCTGCAGTATCTGAATCAAGAGGAGAACAGAAAACACATGTGCTCACTTGTTCATTCTTTTTACATATCTGTTTAATGTGACCAACAGAAATGAATCATACTATACAAATAATTACCTTCTTTATAGCGGCAGTGCAGGCAACATGGAAAATGTGCATCGGTTTTAAAGAGTTACCATTGCTAACATATAGGATAGTAAACAGAGGAAGTGAATGTCAAAACACACACACAAAACTGAACAAAGATAGCATTAACCAAGTGTGACTATCCTGTATCAAGAGGATAACAGAAAACACATGTGCTCACTTGCTCATTTGGAGTTTAATGTGAGCTTTTTGGTTGCTAGTCTCCTGAAGTCGCACTACAAGTCATTAGAGCTCCCTCTAGCAGCAGCCTAGTAATAGCATTACTGTGAGGTTTATTCATTTACTTGCCACTTAGTGGTTTAGTGGACTGTCAGAGACTGGAGACTTGCAGCAGGGAACAATCAGAAGCTGCAACATACTACAGGTGAGGTTGAAGACATGTTGAAGGAAACTTGGGACATGAGACTGCAAGAGATCACTGTCATTACAGCTCAAAAAAAAAAAAAATCTAAAGAGTTGAAAAAAAGAACCCAGTCAAAAAAAAAA